TTGTTAGAGTCATGGGGAAAAAAATGGGGGGGGGGGGGGGGAGGAGGAGGAGCGGTGATTGACTGCTTTAATACGCCAAAGGGAACTAGAAAGGTGGGCAATTTGTAGATATGCTCCCTCAACTAATATTACACTTTAGCACACAAACAAGAGATAAATTAGGGAGCAGCAGGGAAACAAGGATGGGTGGCGTGGCATCCTAGAAGTGATTTATGAAAGCCAACCCAAGAGATCGCTGCTTCTCTTCCTTCTTTGCGGAGACTGCTGTCTGCAGAGTGCTTTAGAAGATTTGTTTTCACTACTTCGGGTACAGAAAGAGCTGGGTAATACCTTGGTGTTGTTCCTTCCTCACTGCCCTCTTCCAATAACCCCCGGACCCCTCGCTGTGACAAGACGACACATGACGCTTCCGCTGGGCGATAACCTACTGACACCTAACATCGCCATGTTTCAACTTCACCATGTTATCCTACTGACGAATGTGCTAACGAGGCTTTTTGTACTTGTGTTGTCCTCATCACTCTGTACATACAACAAACTGATAGAGCACTTGGACAAGAAGAGAGGACAACTCCTCTTTGTACACCCCCGTTGAGTTAGAAGCTCTCATACCCCTAACATAAGGCTTTATACACCTCCTTGCTATGCCTCCCCCCAAAGGGCAATAGAAACAAGCGTTCCCACACAGTGACTGATTTGACCAAGTCCAAGGGACCTTCCATCGTACACCACCTCTCAGGGGGTGGCCATTTCTATGTGGTCCAAACCCTATGTCCACGAGGCAGTAACTAGCAAGAACCTGGACCAAGGCACCACAGGAGGTGAAGCTCGAGTTCTCCATCAGCGGGACCAGCAGCCCTCAAACCATGAGTTCAAAACACTTTTTTAGGCCATCAGCCACAGCGCATGGCTATCCTTACCCTTACGCTTGTTCGAGACCTGGCAGTTGAATAGTACCACGTCTCACAAAGGCAAAAGCCTTTCACAGTGCTCCACGCTCCGCCGGGAAGCAACCGCATCATGGAAAGAGGTCAAACTTGCAGGCTTTCAACTGTGTTAGGGTGGGGGACTCCTTAGGTTCAACTGTGGAGAAAACAGGCTTACTCTCATGCCTCTCCCGTATATATCTCAGAATAAATGTGTATTAAATCCTCCCCTCAGCTGGAAGATCAACTCCGTTAAAAACAGGCAAGGAAGCGCTTCCGTTCATCCAGGACAAGCAAAGCAAGGCAGCATGCCGACAGAAAGAGCCTGCAGAGAAAAGCCAGCCATGCCCTGCGTCTCTCTGCACTGATCCATCCGTTCAACAAGGCACTCAGCAAAGCAGACACAAGCCATCGTCCTGGGAAGGGACGCAGCATGTCGGAGTGTATGAAAATTAAAAATGAAAAGGCCTCGCTCCTCCATAATTCTACAATAAAAATTAAACGGGGAAAGAGCTCCCCTGCATTCCGTCGTTAACTCTCTTCTCCCACGACAGAAACACTCATGTATTTGCCTTTATATTGTAGTTTCAATTCTTCTTAGCCCCTCAGCACACAGCCCCTCTCCACGTGCCCCCCCATCTCCCCAGTTTCATTACAGTAGGACAGTTTAAACTTTGAATAATTTAGTGTGAACTCATCCAGCTGCCTTCACTTTGTTTCCCGGAGGTGCTGCAAAGTTTGGACTTTAAGCGAGGAACAGAAGGCCGAGAGTACCAGCTCTGCTCGACGGCTGTATTACCGTGCAAATCCAGGCCGTGTTGGGGAAGGGAAGCCCACAGCAACACTTCAACAGCAGACACGAGGCGCGGGTTCGGAGACGCGCGCTGGCCTTTCGTCTCCCACGTGCCCTGCGCCAGCGGACAGATCACGCAGGCAGATTTCCTTACACTCAAATTTTCAGGGCTGACTCACCCCAGCTCTGCTCGACGGCTGTATTACCGTGCAAATCCAGGCCGTGTTGGGGAAGGGAAGCCCACAGCAACACTTCAACAGCAGACACGAGGCGCGGGTTCGGAGACGCGCGCTGGCCTTTCGTCTCCCACGTGCCCTGCGCCAGCGGACAGATCACGCAGGCAGATTTCCTTACACTCAAATTTTCAGGGCTGACTCAACGTCGAATGCTTTTAATTCTCACGTCACGTTTTTCGCATAATGTATTACTGATGTCTTTTAACATTCTCTCTTCTTCCGGGAATAGTTTGTATTATATTGCACCGCACATATATTCGTGAAAACGAGTATTTCTTGCTTGGACGGTCATGCTGCGGAGCAACTAAAGAGAAGCTGAAGCCATCTGTAGCCGTGGGGCTCAGGGACCAGGGTATCTGCTTGTTTGGAATTGTATTTCTGGACCCATTAAATATCTCAGACTTCATCAAGTACACTGGACGAGATTTGTCATGTTTGTTTTTTCCGCGAGTGCAATTCCACAACATACCCTGTTTGACAGAATCGTCACATTTCAGCCCAAATTCAGCTGCTTCACCGCGACCTCCCCCAGCCGGCGTTAGGGGAGACAGCTGGGAAGCTGCTCAGATGCAGCTACTTTTAAAAAATATTTATTGCTGTGAATATTTGGCACGATGAGGAAATCCTCCCTTCTCCGGCCCATGCGTTCCCCTGCTCTAGCCACAACGCAAAGCACACGCGTTGCTATTTTGGTCCCGCATTTCTCTCCATTAAACTATCCGCAGCCCGTCAATGGCTCTTGGAGATGTTAAGGCCAACGCGTAGACACAAAAAGAAATCTGGTTAAATCAATGGTGTAATCTGAATTAATCTGATCCTTCAAACATCCAAGAGTTCCAAACACCCTTTCAAACGATCGCTTCCTTCTTGCGGAGACACCAAGTCCTTCTGCACAGCTAAATGCGACGCACGTCTCCGAGGAACCGGTGAGCCGACCCGCAGCCCTTCCGAGCACCCCCACAACGTCCAAGGGCTCCAGCTCCTCTCTCACCTGGAATTGCGTTGCTATATTACGGTTTTCTTTCCAGCTAGAATGTCAAGCTTATTTTATGCGCAGTATGTTACGACTTTCTTTCAACTGGGATTTCATGGTTGGTGCTATTACAGACAAATCATAGCTCTTCCAAAGCATAATTAAGGTACTTTGTTTTTAATATATGACCTATGTTAGGAAATATTTCCAAACACATTATTAGGTCTTTTCAAAGGCCGTGAACATAGCCTGCTGCCAACAGCAGTAATGTACAAACCATAACCCATCGCAACAGAGATCGAGCTGCCAACAGAGCATCAGGCCTCCTATTCTTCCTGCGCCATGGACAGAGCGACTCTTGAAGCTGAACAGCACAGCCGGTCAATCAATATGTATTAATATTAATACCTGTATTCTAGCAGGGCCTGGGGCAGCCAAGAAGCTCCAGCGTGAGGCACCATGCAAATCCAAACAAACAGCCTGTGCCTGGAAGGGTTTACGCCTACGCAGGTCAAACAGAGAAAGCCAATAAAGGCAGGAAAGCCACGAAGGTAAGAAATAGGTCAGAGCCTACCAAATGGGGCAGGGGCACAGAGATCAGCGCTCCTGATCCCAAAATGCGGTGCCCTTCTCAGTGAAATGAAAAGATTGACAACTTCTGGGTCAAACTTGCCCTCAAAAAATAAGTTTGCGCTTTTCCTCAATTGTTCGGGTAAAAAGGACAATTAACAGAACAAGGCACAGTGCCCTCCCAAATGAATTGAATAAACCAACAATTTAACAGGTCAAAATTCTAAAAAGTTGTTTTCAAAAGGGCTACGCCAAAAGGAGCAGCAGCTCCAGCAACCTCAGTGCTTCTATTGCCACCACGCCAGACCCTCAAACCACGAGACATTTGAGTGAGACTTAGGGAAAATTATCAAACGGGCAAAGGGAAGCAAAAAAGACAAAGAGCAAATGGTTCAGGTTTAATGTCTGGAAAGGGGCAGTCATAATTACTGACCAGGTAAAGCGATGCTTAAGCCAAGCGTAAGGGACGTTTTGCAGGAGCCGCCCAGCCCTCCGGCAGGCTCAGAGCCGTGGCTTCGGCAAGGCAGCGTCGCCAGGAGGGCAGCGCTCTGCGGACAGCGGCGGCTGCTGCTGTGAGGAGGAGGGGGATCGGGGCAGCGAACGCAAAGCTCAGAAGAGATGGTGTGCACCTTGCTGCAGTCGGCGAAACGCCGACGTTTACTTACGCCTTTTCTGCAAGAGATGGCGTGAAAAATGTACCAACGTACAACAGCAGCTTGCTTCTCCAGGTGGCCTTCTGCTGGGATGTGAACTGTTGTACCTGTACCTAGATCCCTTTTTTAGTCACTATCCCAGCTCTGGATGTGCAGAACAGCTTGTGGCCTAACAGCAGGGAAACAGATAATCTTATATTACCATCATCTTGTATTACCTTCGTGAAGAGGGGAGCAAAGCCCAGGAAGCCAGACGAGCACCCAGAGGCTAGTGGAAGAGAGGCGAGCATACGCACGCGTGGGCTGGAGAAGGCAGAACCTGACAGCACCGCCTCGGCTGCGGGCAATAAACCAAAACCCGAGTCAGGAACACAAACCCAGTGCACAGACGATCAGGGTTACAGGGGACCAGCGAAAGGTGTGAGGCCCTAACACAAACCACCCAGATAAACAGCCCAAAACGCACAGAAGAGGGGAGGAGAAGGAGGAAGAGGAGGGGTGGGGAAGTCCTGTAAAGTCTGAAGTCAGACCCTGGGGGAGCAGTGGCTGGCACACGCCAGAGCCACTCATTGCATTCACTGAGCATTTATAGCACTGGGGGAGAGAACCCTGGCGATTCCTGCCCACCGCTTGCAGATCAAACCATCGCCGATGCCACGGCAGCCAGGACTCGCTCCCCACATCACCGCCTGACACGCTGGGTATGAGAAATCCGTGCAAAGTCTCAACAAAACAGCAACCAGCAGAAACTTGCTGTGTCACCCAGCACGTAACAACGCAGACGCAGGTTCAACGTGGCCATCGAATCATGGTGCTCCAAGTTTCTGTTCTTTCCAGCGCTCCTTTGGCCAACTCCCCCTGCCCTCCCGTCCCAACACCTACTTTATCTAAACAGTGAAATGGGTTTGGAGGTTTCAGATCAGGGATCCATTAGAAAATTCTTGAATGAAAGGCAATAGGTAAGTGCAGATGGTTATTTTTAGAAAATATTTAAGTGAGCCCTAAATTAGTTTCTAAATCTGTCCTTACTAAAAGTTCATAATAATGAAGCGAGCTGCCTCGGACAGAAGTGGAATTTCCCCCTTTGCCAGATTTGCTCCAAACCACCCATTTTTTGGAGGACACTGAATGAAGTCTGTCAACAGCTGCTCTGCTCACTTGCTGTCTTCTTTGTGCTCGGGCTTCACAAGGAAAAAAGCCCTGCACGTGACTTTCCTTAAGGAATTTCTTCTGGTAAATCCTAGAACACGGCAGCAGTGCCGTTACCCTGTGGCATGGTCTGTGGGGCTTTCCCAAGGTATTTACACCCCCATTTTGCACCAGGAGAGCTGCAATAAAAGCAAAGAACAGAACGTGTTTGTAGGACCCATCATGCTCCCAAGCAGGACTGTGAGAGCCAGAATGGGATCCAGGTCCTCCCAGCTTCATTCCTGTGGTTCCTCACGCGATGGCAACACCAACTCCATAGGAAACCAGAAAATTAGGCTTTTAATAGGCTGGCAATAAGAATAAATTATATTCCCATAAGGAACTGGAAATACAGGGTTTTAATACACTCGCCATAAGCAAGCTGTAAATAACTCAAGAAATTCAGTGTTTTAATTTCAAAATTTCTGCAAAAATGCATTCGCTCTACTGCAACTGGAAACCCAGTTCTGAGCCTGAGCTCGGCCACCTCTGGCTGCAACGCCAGCCGGAACGACATGGGAACTCGGGGGGCAGGGTGGGGTTCTACGTCACTTACAAAAGTTCCCGTCCCTCATGTGACGTAACGATAGAACAGCCCACCCTACGTACAAGTGACTGAAAGGATTGCCCTCCGAAGTTGCTCATCCAAAGCACTGAAGGACATCGTTTGCCGGGTACAGACACGCGGTGCATTTGCTCAGGCTGCCCAATTGCTAACGATTCCATCCCAAGCCTCCCCTGTTGCCTCCACGCTTTCCAACGATTAAAGCAACTTCCTATCACCAGCGAACGCCGCCCCGATGGCTGCTCCCCCCTGCAGATGCCATCTGGACTCCCTGTTGTTAGCTTGCCCCCGTTTCCTAGAGAAACCGTGACACAGAAATTGAACTCACCGATGCCGCTATCAGTTTTACGCTGCTCGTCGTCACTTCGTACCTCTCCACAGCACTTGTGTTCCTCCACAATTTTACGGGGGGAACTTACCGAAAGGATCTTGAAAACGCAGGCAAATTCAGCCCACTCGGCTGCGTTTCCCTGCTGGTTTCTCAGCCTTTTAGCAAGTTACCCAGCTCCCATCCTCTCCTACGGGAACTACGTTGGCTTGACTGTACCCGTTTGCACGTAGCCAATTTTGGTACTGTTCTGTTCTTAATCATACTGAATAAAAACATGAAAGCAAGTATTTTTGTTATTACTGTTGTTACTATCATTCACGGGACGTGTGCTTGATAGTCAGAACCACACTGAAGAGTTTTTTCGATAACTGTGCCACCTCCGCTTCCATTAATCATCTCAAAAGCAGCGCTAAAGTAGATGAGCTCTGCAGCAAAACATTTCTCCTACTTCAACAACGCAAGTTAAGAATTCTTCCCTCAGGCCCTCTGCTCTCCCCCCCCCTCGCAGGCGCGGGTGACTAGCTTTACTGTGTGGAAACAGAGGCAGCAGATGCCCAACCTCTTTCCTATTCAGAGTAGAAGACTACACGACCGAACCGAAGCTTCTGTATTACAGATTTACCTTATAGTTATGTACGCACCAAAAAGAAACACATCTGGAGATGGGCATTACGCTGCCACACACCGTTTCATTTTTGATCCACTGACCTAATCAGTAAAGCACTGCCTAGATCTAAGCAGTAACAATCTTTCGGCAGTGCCCAAAATCTCCTTAAGGCATCAGCAGGCAGCCCCTGCGGCGAGGGCAACGCGGCGGCGGCGACTCACCACATGGCATGCATGTACGTCGGAGGTAGCCGAGGGCTGCTGACGGGGGTACAGTTGTATGATCTCATAATTCTTTCTGCCAAGAGAAAGTTTCGAAATAAACTGGCCACCAGCAGGTCCTGCCTGAAGAGCTTCTGGAAAAGATCTGCCAAGAGATTGCCAGAATTACTACACGCATATGTCTGACTTGCTTACCTCTGGTAAGATGCAAACATCATTTAAACACATAAAAATAAGTTTTACTCCAGTAAAAAAAATAGTATTTTACTCCAGTAACAAGGAATCTACAACAGTTTTGCAGCGACAACTATTAAATGGAAATCTGCCCTCTGAGCTCCCTTAAACCATGGCAGTTGCTCCCCATTAACAGAATTAAATACTTCCTACCTCAGGTTGGTTTGGGCCCTTTCTGGATAAAATGCTTCCTTTGGTCTTTCACTTAAGCTCAGCCTCCCTAAGTTTTTGGAAATTACTGAGGGAGAAAAGGACCTTTGGGTACTATTTAATTAAGAACTATAGAGCTGTTACCAGCAGTTTGATGTGCTTAGGAAAAGCCAATATAAATCCTAAAAGACAGCAAATGCCCCATCTTTTGGCAGGGCAAAGAGGAGTTTATGCTGCACCAAGCGTTAGAAAGAGCACAGTTTGGAAAGTGCTTACAGGTTTGGCCACCCGTGCTCCCGAGTACGAATTTGGAGCAGAGCAGAGGTAGAGAAATGGGATGAAGTTACCCAGGGGAATCCCAGACTGTCTTCCCAGGAAAGAGAAAAAAGCCCTTTACATAGGATAATAACAGATGTGGAAGAAAACAGATTGCTCTCCACAAATACAGTGAGGAAGAAAATTATTCAAGCTAAAGCAATCATGTTAGCACCAGGAAAAACCCTTCTGGTTTCCAGTAATGAGGTTGCTGAAATGCTTCTGGTAGGAGAGAGCGAATGTAAAAAATTTACCCAGCCTTAAGATTCACTCTGATCTGTTCTTTCAATATCAGGCTTTAATTTTCTCCTTATTCCAGTGTCTCATTTATCTCACTCCTCATCCTTTGACTCCGCATAAGCAATGCTCACTTCTGATGAAAACTTGATTTGCCTGCCCAAGTCCTACCTCTAGGCAAGACATTCCACGCGATGGTGTCTGTGATAGCGGTGAAGATCCAATTCAGCTCTCCCAGCGGAGTCCTCCTGTCGTTCAGTCTTCCAGGAATCCTACAAGTGAGGGAAAAAAACCAAGTACGTTTCCTATTAAAATCGCATGTTTTGATACACACACAGATGCGCAGCTCTGAGCCTCAGTCAAGGCTCACGACAGACAGTGCTCCCAGAACCGGAATTCTTAGCCAAGAATTAATGCTGCTAGGCAAACGCTCCTTATCCAAAATCCCATACATTGGAATTTGCTTGCACAATGAATTGCCAGAGAGAGGATGATACACAAGGAATGGTTACAGATAACTGCGCTAAAGGAAAACATCTGGGAAGACATCGCAGAGATGATGTTGATTTCTGAGATGCAACGGGAATGACTTTTTCTTCAGAAGTGCTGCCCTGCTTCATTTTATCCATTATTCATTTCTTGCCGAAATATTTAATAATAAATACAATTTATATTACAAACTGCATGCTCACAATCCATAACATCCCTGTGTAAGAACTTCTGAGTGATCATGTCCCAGAAAAAAACCTAATTTTTTTTTTTTTTTTTTTTTAACAGTCAGAAAGCTCAGAACAGTTAGAAAAACAGTAAGAAACCCCCTGACAGCGAGGCAGGCCCGGCGCAGCTCCCGCCGCAGCAAAGCACTGCCCGCTCCTGCAGGACCGCGACCGGCAGGATGCGCCTCCCCGGCCCAGCCAGACCATCGAAGTCAAGGTGAGAGCTTGCTACCGCCAGCGCGGCGGCTCGTTTCCAAGGGGGACGTCTGCTGTTCTTGCAAAGCACGCTGTTTTTCACCCAGTAGGTTCTTTGAAAACTTGAGTTCAGGAATTTAGCACTTACCTGTCGCGGGGTTTGTTGCATCGCCACCAGTACTGTGTGCAGGTGCAAATACAGTGTCTTGCTAAAAAAGCTACTGGGCAGCTTTTTATTCAAACAGGAGATATTTTCTGTCATTAGGAACTTCCCAGTTAATACGCTGGCATTCATGGAAATCAGTAACTTGAATGCCAGTTCCTCAACCCAATTGGAGATTGACACATTGCCCTACAGAAACCCAACAGCAAAGCACACGTTCTTTCTGAATTCTACAAATCAGGCATTACTAAATCCCAAGTGACAGACACCACTTTGAAAAGCGCCTCCTAACGCACCAACTGACCACTGAGTAGTAAAAAACCAGAGGAGAACCCCCTCCGAAGAACAGGCAGTGTCCCCAGAAAAGCCCCCTGCTCTTGGGGAGGGCAGTGGACGGGCAGGCGAGCGCGGGGCCTGACCAGAAGCTCAGCAGCCGGGTCTGGCACGAGGGAGCGAGCAGCGGATGAGGGCAGCTCGCCTCACGTCGCCGGGACTGACGCTAGGATGTTTTGCCTAGGATTCACATTTGGGCCTTTGTTTAGACTGCTCAAAAACGGGGCACACAAAATACAGAAGGTGCAGAGAGAGCTTAAAAGAAAAAAAAAAAAAAAGAGATAGTGACTGAACGCCATACAGTGAGAAATTTAAGGAGGTCGTTCTATCGACCCACGGAGGAACAGCTTGAACATCGTGGATAAACACCTACAAGAGAAAAACCCCGGTGCCAACAAATACTTTAGACAAGTGAAGAATGAAAGACAAGCACTTGACCATCGAGAGGAAGGGAAGCGATTCAATCTGCACCTTCCAAAGGTTCCAGGCACACACACTGCAGAGGAGCACGAGTTATTCGGCTCTGCTGAGGAGGAACCCGGCGAAACTCCATAGCCCGGCATACGCAGAAGGTCAGAGCAGACAAACTAAGAGTCTCCTCCAGGCTTAACGTTTATTCTTCAGAGCATCAACGCACCGGAGGGAACGGCCTGCCCGAAACACATTCGGTGGAGGTGGAACAACAGCGTTCCACCGGGAATCTTGGTGTTCCAGGGTCTGGGATCTTGCTTTTGTAGGCTGAATAAAACGTATTTCATCCAGGAGCTGAACCAAGATCTCATCCTGTATTTGTTCGCTTGTGGTAAGACGCGAGGCCTGAAGGAACGGCAGGACCAACACACGGTGGGATTTCAGTGAATGCAGAGACAGGCGATACCCTGCGGTGACTCAAAACCGGCGTAGGCACAGGGCTGCCCTAAGGAAGAAAAGTGGCTGGAACTGTTCTTCAATCTGACCTTCTGCCTCCAAGCTGATCCGCTTTCCTAAAGATGCTCATTTGCTTCTCACAAAAACAAGAAAAAAAGAAGAAAAAAAACCCCAAACCTCACCCAAGCACCCAAGACGAGTAGACTCGGCCCTGGGCCGCCTTCGGAACACTCAGACGCCCCAATGCGCTAATGCAGCCTGGCACGATTGAGCGCAGATTTTTCTTCCCCTTGAGAAAGGATCAGCGATAGGATGGGGAAGTTTTGGAAGGACGCACCCAAGCCGGCAAGGCCCCTGCGGGCTCCACCCTCACGCACCCTTGCCTCCCCCTGTAAGAGGTTTTCAAACGTTCAAGTATCGAGACAGACACGAACCAAGCGCTTTCTCTATGGCAACTTATTCCCCCGCTGTGCACGGCAGTATTCTTTCCACGCAGGTTCAGACGGAGCGTGTTCGCCGGTATAAACAGCTCCGAAACCAGCCAGAAAGTAACACCATCTAAAAAATTCCTGTCTGTCTTGATATCATAGGAAAAATATACATCTCTGAAATGGTGTTTGTTAACTGATCCCCCCGGCGAGCGAGGGAACGCGAGGCCACACCAGTGCCCTTGTGAGGATTTCCCATAAATATTTGCATTGCAGAACACCCTCTGCAGCAACACAGCAGCGTTTCCGAAGTCAGAATGTTATTAATTAGAAACCAGAGCAATCCTTGCCGAGATCCCCTAGCAAGCCAAATGCCAAGCTTAAACCATTTGTTGGCCACTCCCAAGCTGGTTTTCAGCGGAAAGAGAAGCAGGGAGTTCCACGGTAGAGTCCGAATCTTTACACCAGATGGAGAGTTCCGCACACCGGTCACGCTAAACTCCTCGCTACACGCAGGCGGTGAGCGGAGACGTCCCTGCCCGACGGCACTAAGCAGGAACGATGGGCTGAAATCCCAGGCTGCTGCTGGCAGCCCCACCTCGGCACCTCCTCGTGCCCCGAGCAAGCCCCTTCCTCGGGGAACAAGGGAGGGTTCTTATCTTTTGTATTTAAAGACTTAAAATTAGATTTAGTATATTATAGGGTTTCTTTTGGATTTTAAAATGCATTTGCTATTTTTCCATGACGTGACTGCCCTTCCTAAGGCTGATGGCAGGATCTGGAAAACACAGCTACCCGCCAGGGGCTGCAGCCAAGCAGCGGTGGTTCATCGGCCGGCACCTTCTGCCGCATCAGGTGAGTCCATCTGCTTTCGGCCCTCAGGGAGAGCCGGGAAGGTGCTAACTTTGTACCAGCCCCAGGAACGCAAAGATGGATGCTGTTCAGCACTTTAAAACCCTACGCGTTCGGTGTTAACGGTGAGGGCGGAGGGAGCGTGGGGAATAGCACGGGAACGAAGGGCAATGCATTTCCATCGCTGCAAGAACCCTGCCAGAGCTTTCCCATTTTGGACTGGAACGAGACAGCAGCTCTCGGAGGGGAACTGGCAGCGGGGCCGTTCTCCGGGCTGCACGCAGGAATCAATTAAAGTTGGAACAGTCGGCACAGGAAAATAAACAGGGGGTATTTTCTGTTCCTAGGTGGGCCTGCTCAAGCGCTCATCCCAGAAACAGAGGCCAGTTTGTAACGCTCCAGGGACAAGCCGAGCGATCCGAGGAAGGGATTTTTCACACTCAGTGACAGTTGATCTTAATCATCTTTGAGAATTAAAGTTTAAGCTTCCAAAGGCAAGAGAAGAGCGATGCTTAACTCCCAGGCAGCATTGAAATGTGCTCGGGTGGTAGGCACAGGGATTCCAGGCGGATTCCACCTCCACTCGGAGGCACCAACCTCCCAGCCCCCTTGGGAGAGCTGCCCCCGGCGCTACGTACAAACAGCCCACAACACACACCGGCAAGGCACGGGGGACAGCAACCTCCTGTTTGCTTCTTCACACAGTTAAAGATTTATTTGAAATAATCAGTTATGCTTTTTTTAAAAAATAAAAAACCACCAAACATTGTCTTTACCTCTCCCAGAAGTCGAGGTCGCTTTACTTTTGTTATTTTTGTGGAGTTCCACCACGCAAATTTACTTAACGTCATTTTTCAGATACCATACTTGGGGCGAGCACACTTCCCTCAGACAAGGCGCTCTCTCAAACCCATCCCGTGCCTACAGACTGAAGGTTCTTTTTAATTTCTATTTGGGCACGCATCGACACGACCAGAGCATTGCAAGGCTCCACAAAGGCCTCTTCCCCCGAGGAACATTGCCACCCTCTTGCCATCATTTCTCCCGATGCCTTTCACGTTACGCTTTGACAGCCGGCGAGAGCCTTTGACAGCGAGGACAAAGCAGACCTCATTTGTAAAAACTATTTCTGCAGGAGGGGAAGAACAGGAAAAAGGGCAGGAAAAAGGGCAGGCTGTCTCAGCCGCTCACCCCAATTGAACATCTCTGGGCTCTCAATTGCTTCTTCCATCAAGCTCTGACAGACGCCTTTCCAGAGCCCAAATCACGGCAGTCTATTGTGGGAAGTGAGGACTACAAAATGTCAGGGTCACCGAAGAGCTCGCGCGAGGTGTAACCATCAATGTCCTTGTCAGAAATTCAGCAAAATCCCATGAATCACTTTAATTACAGGGAAAGCGTTTACTTCAAAGGATGCCAGGTGCTCCCCTCCGGATGGGCTCCATCATTATCCCTCCTTCTGGAACACAAGATCTAGAACATTGGGATCTACAACCTCAGACTTAGACTTCAGAAAACAAGATGCTTTGGCATCGATGTATACTTGCGAATATTCACAGTAATTTGAGGTTTGGGGGGGAAAAAAAAATTAAATATATTTCACTTTTCACTCTTTCAGGGAAAAAAGGGAGCAAGCACACCACAGCAAAGGGTGAAACAGCGGCGCCAGCAGGATACACGCCGTCGAAACCTCTTGAACTGGCAAGAGCTGCTTAGAC